CACGTGGCGGACAAGAGGAGGCTGATCATCTGGAACAATGGTGGCCCTGTGAGTGCATGAGCATGACTGGACCCACGAATCACAGCGGACAATTGGCAGTCAACTGATGGATGTCGTCTGTGCTCCAGGGATGTTCAAGCTTCGACGGAGTCATGATGGAGATTGGTCCCTTTCGACCCGACGGCAAAGGCTCGCTCGAGTGGACCACGCAAGGGGGCGCCTGGAACGAGTACGCAGACGTTCTGTACCGTGAGTTCCGCCAGTACTCAGAAGCACGACATCGATACTCGCACCTAACATCTTGGCGCTGCTACCCCACTGAACAGTCGATCAGCCAGTAGGCACGGGCTTTTCGTACGCTAGCACATCGGCATACGCGAAGAGTCTGCCTCAAGCCGCTGACGAAGTGAGGTACTTCATAGAGCGCTTCGTAGAAGTATACCCAGAGTACGCTGCCGGAAATGGCGTGGACGTCTACATTGCTGGAGAGAGCTAGTGAGTCGCAAGTAGACGTTGTATATAGCGAGGTCGATAAGAGCTAACTGTCTGTCTGACTTGGTGTACATGATCGGTCACCTAGCGCCGGGCAGTAGTGAGTAAAGCGTCCATCAGTTCATCAGCGGCGCCTCCGAACTTTGTGTGATTTGCTCGTTGAATTGCGACGCTCGCAGCATCCCCTTCGAGGCATCTGCTCTCACTCGCTCTCCTCAGCCAGTTGATCTGCGAGGCATCGCGCTGGGCAACGGATACATCGATCCTGCAGCTCAGGGAGGCAGCGAATTGGAAATGATGATCTGGTCGGGCGTCTGGAAAGAAGGGGGCAAGGTAAGCTGCCGTAGAAGAGCTGCTCGCACCGACAGTAGGCTCACAAGTGCTGCGACTCGCAGGAATGGACGGAGGCCAATAAGCAATGGCTCAAGTGCAAGGCTGACCTGGACAAGCTGGTCGGCAGCCCCCGGGATACCCCAGCATGCTCTCGTATGCTCCCAACAATCATTGACATCACGACTCAGAAGTGCGTGCACGCCGTGGGTCCGCTGCGCTGACAGGACACAACTCTAACGGCGCAGTTGTCCCTAATGCAGAGTCGCTGGACAGAGCAAGGCGAGATGCATCAACATTTACGATGTCCGTCTCTCGGACACCTCTCCAGATTGCGGCATGAATTGGCCGCCCATCATCAAGCCGACCTACGACTACTTGGCGCGCTCAGACGTGCGCAAAGCTTTGCATGTGGACGAAGTAAAAAAACCCGAAGCGTGGATAGAGTGCTCGCATCGGGTTGGCGGAGCTTTGAAAGAAAATAACCCGCAAAGTAGCAAGATACACATTCCCGAGCTACTCCGAAAGGGCGTCAAGGTGATGCTGTTTGCAGGCGATCAGGATCTGATCTGCAACCATATTGGCGTGGAGAGGATCCCGCGGCATTTGGACTGGGAAGGCGCCGCTAGCTGGGAAGTAAGTTGAGGACGCAATCGACTGCGGTGTCACAATGCAGAAAAGACCGAGAGCAAGCTCACCTGCTTTCTCTGTACCTCTCAGGGAGAAGCCACCAAGAAGGACTGGTTTGTTAACAATAACAAGGCGGGCTACTGGCGAGAAGCGCGCAATCTGACGTATGTCAGCATAGCCGGAGGATCCCACATGGTCGGCTTTGACAAGCCAGTCGAGTCACACGACATGATGTTGAGATTCATGGGTGTGGATTTGATGGGAGCTGCTGGGCCTTCCGCTAGAATTCCTTCGCGCGTTGAAGGAGAGCCTGACAGAATGCTAGTGGTTGCTCCGAACCCTGGAAAGGGCGACGGATCTACGGATAATCGACCCATGATTCCTGGTGTTGACGGAAAGACGGAAGAACAGGTAGCCGAAGAGGCCAAATGGGCGGCGTACTAGTGAGTTGAACAAGATGCGACCACGCCCGCCGGCCCTTGTTGGCTCCGCAACCTCACCATCCTCTCCTCTCGCGTTCAGCAATGCGGGCTCTGCAGCTCTTGTCGTGCTATTGATCCTCGTCGGCGTTGGAGCTCTCATCCTCCTTCGACTGCGGAAGCAGTCTCGCCGTTCGACGAGCATGCTCGGTCGAGGTGGTCGACCCGTCGCGCGCGAGGACACGCACGAGCTTGAACACCTGGTGAGGGATCCGGCGTCTGGCGAGTACGCGGATGATGAGGACAAGCTGGACGACGAGGAAGCCCAGAGCGGATTGAGCAGTGCCAGGAAGAGTCCGGTTGGAACACGAAGGGCAGGCAATGCGGTGCAGGAAGATCAAACCGTCTTCGACGTGGGAGATAGCGACGATGAGGGACCTACACCTAGGACCGCCAATTCTTCAAGCGTCAGGAGACCATAAAATGTTACCGAGATTTGAATGTCATTGACTGTGCCTGCCAATTTCTAACGCAATCAACACGGGGCTTGTGAACTTGCCGCTCATCTAGTAATGGTCATTGGTCCGCAGCAAAGAGGCTGCAGCCCGCCAAGCTATTGCCATACGTTCTTGATCATTCAGGGCAGCCCCCGAAACAGCACCTTTGACCCGGACAGAGAATCAGGGTGAAAGAGTAATATTGAAAGTCCATGTCAGGGATGGGTGTGCGCAGAGAAGAGAATGCGTGCTAAGCGGTAGCCACGTGTAGATTGCAAGTCTAAAAATTGAATGCGAATAGAGGGGCTGTAGGTGGGGGTGAGAGCTTGCTGGAAATGTGCAGGGATGGGGGTGGGCATGTGAAATGGCAAGGCGAGGCTGAAGCAAAGCAGGGTAGCAGATTGGTGACGAGTTTGAAGTTTGGGAAAAAGGGATGAGCGGGTCAACGGATGGCCCGGAGAGGGAGATGGAGAAGACCCTTTAGAGAACAGCGATGGCTGCTACGAGGGCTGCGCCTGCTGCGACAAAGACACCAGCAGCGGCATGGCCACCTTTCATCTCTGCTCCATTTCCGCTGAACCCGGATGGAGATGAAGTGGCGGCAGCGAGAGCGCGACCGTTGGACGAAGTTGCCGCGTTGACCTTGGCGGTGACGGTGGCGGTAGCGCTAGACGTCGTGGTGGTGCTGCTGCTGCTGCTGCCGCTGCCGCTGCTCGCGTTCTTGTTGTTGGCGACGGCAGTGAGAGCGGTCGTGTCACCGTTGGTGATGCTTGCTGCAGACTTGCAGTTGGAGCTGCTAGGGGCAGGGTGCGCCTCGGGCGTATTGCCGTGGTCCTGGAAGAAGGTGCTGCTTCCGTAAATGCCAGGAGGCAGAGCAACGTCGGCCTCGCAGCTGTCGAAAGTGTGCTCGTCATAGTTTCCGGGCATGACCCATGAGCAACCCATGGTGTCGTAGATGTGTTGGCAAAGGGCTTGGTCTTGTCCCGACTTGCTCTTGCAGGCACGAATGCAGAGCTCCGAGTCCGACATGTAGTTCATCCACTCGTGGATCTGAGACGGTCTGCCGTCCTTGCTGAAGGCGGTAGAGAAGACCAGACCACCGATGGGGTTGCCATTACCGTCGGCACCGTGAGGGTCGAGCTCACCACCAGCATCTCCCTTGGCAATGTTGAGCTTGGTGAAATCTCCTCGGGCAGTCACTTGAACGTAACGCTTCGTCTTGATAAAATGAGCACCAGTGACCGTGCCGTCGGGAATGAGCCTCGTTCCGTAGCCTGACTTTGTGCACCAGGCGACTTCCTCGCGCTCTGTGTTGCCCACCTCACTGTTGGGCGTGGGGGCGGAAAAGACGCACCAATCGTCGATGGAATTGATAAAGATGTTCTGGCACATGGAATCGGAAGACGACTTGCCCCACTGCGTGCACTGGTTCGTGCCGGTCTGACCTTGTTGCCAGGTCTTGGGCAGATTGTCCAGAGTGAAGTCGGCATCCGAAGCATCGCGGGCCGTCACGTTGGCGTGTCTGGCATGGTAAGCGGGCGATCGGATGATCTTGGCATCGGCATTGTTGGACAGAGTTAATGCGACTGCGAGCAGCGCGACGGAAAGTTTGCTTTTAGCAGCGATCATTGTTGAATCGGTAGAAGATGCGAGATGGGAGACGCGGGGGG